TCCAGGCATACGCTGCCCTGCTGCTGTCACCATGGCCAGCTCACAGACAGGGCTGTGTCAGCAGGGTCTACATGCCACCCATGACTGCACATTCCTCTCTGTCCAGGGCTTCTCTGGCTGGCACTGGGCACAAAGCCTTGACCCTGCTCTCCAGGGGCTGATGGTGAAGGTGGGAGACACCCCCGCTGCTGCCACAAGGTGAGAGCCACCACCAGAGCCTAGACTGGGAGCTCTGGGCGTACAGAGGAGGGAACAGCTCTACCCTGGATATAGAACAGCACCCAGCACATACCAAGTGCTCAGTAAACTCGAGCTTTATAGAAAAACGCCCCTGGCCAAATGCACGGAATAGATGCACAGTCCGTCTCTCAGCCATGATCACCAAACCCTGGGGACCTGAGCCACCCAAGGTGTCTCGCTTTGTGCAGTGGGTGAGTTCCCAAAATACCAGCTGCAAATGGGCTTCTGTTCACGCTGTCACTCGCAGGCAAATGCTCCTCCTTCCTCAGTCTGAAGCCCACTCCTCCTTGAGCGGGGCAGGAGAGGCTTCACGAGAGGCAGCTCCGGAGGGGTGAGGGGAGCGTGGGCCCAGGACCAGGGAGGGGAGCTCGCTCGATGAGGGACAAGTCCAGCCGGCCAGTGTGGCTGCAGGGAAATGGTGCCGCTGGTGTTTTAGCTGATGAGTCTGTTTTGTGTGGAGCAAGAGTCAGGGGTGGCAAGTTGCTCACAGTGGCTGGATGACACCAGGACTGACCCCAGGCCCAGCGCTGTCCCACCCCCTCCTGGGATACACTTCCCGCCAGACGCCCAGGAGCATTGCCTTTGTTTGAGATTATCAGAAAACACACACACACACACACACACACACACACACACACACACACACACAGAAAATCAGACACACAGAAAGAGAGAGACAACCCTAAAGAAGAAGCTAAAACCCCACAAACCCATGACCCGGACACTGACTCCAGAACATTCTGGAGTTTCAGCCCTCGCCATGTGCACTGTGGCTCTACCATCCACCATGCCTTTGAAAAAGTTTTCTAGGCCAGGCGTGGTGGCTCACGCCTGTAATCCCAGCACTTTGGGAGGCCGAGGTGGGTGGATCACGAGGTCAAGAGATCGAGACCATCCTGACCAACATGGTGAAACTCCGTCTCTACTAAAAATACAAAAAATTAGCCAGGCATGGTGGCACGTGCCTGTAATCCCAGCTACTCTGGAGACTAAGGCAGAAGAATCACCTGAACCCGGGAGGCAGCGGTTTCAGTGAGCCGAGATCTCGCCACTGCACTCCAGCCTGGGCAAAGAGTGAGACTCCGTCTCAAAAAAAAAAAAAAAAAAAAAAAAGAAGAAAAAGAAAAGGCTTTCTAAAGGTTATCTCCCTATAAACACCTTCCCAAAGCACCCCTCACCCTTCGGATCAGCCCCACACTCCTGCCCCTGGCCCAGGAGGCCTGTGTGTACCAGCACCTGCCCCACGGCCCTGCCTCTCCCAATTCCCAACGCTCCCAGCACTCTCTGCTCCCACCCTAGGGCCCCTGCAGCCACCGCGTCCTCTGCCTGGAACGGGTTCTGCCCAGATCCGCACAAGGCTGCCTCATCCTCACCCTCAGGCCTGGCCCAACATCCCCTCCTCAGGGGGGGCCTTCCGTGCCCACCCAGGTGAATGGCCGGGAGGAGTTCCTGCAAGGAGCAGAGGTGGCACAGAGCCGCACCAGGAGGAGTCAGCGCCGGGTCCCACCACCTGGGTGTGAATCCCAGTTCTGACGTTTACAAGGTGTGTGACTTCGAGCAAGTGACTTCACTCCTCTGGGCCTTGGTTTTCTCCTCTGTAAAATGGGAATGATAATGGTTCCTGCCTCATTCCATTGTCAGGAGGATTAAATGAGTTACTAATACACACAGTTTATAAAAGCACCCAGCACATACTAAGTGCTCAGTAAACTTGAGCTTTAAAGAAAAACGCCCCTGGCCAAATGCACAGAATAGGTGCACAGTCTGTCTCTCAGCCATGATCACCAAACTCTGGAAACCTGACCCAGCAGCCACCCAAGGTGTCTCACTTCATGCTGTGGATGAGTTCCCAAAATACCGGCTGCAAAAGGGCTTCTGTTCACACTGTCACTCACAGGCAAATGCTCCTCCTTCCTCAGTCTGAAGCCCACTCCTCCTTGAGTGGGGGCCCTGACATCTGCAAACACTTGAAGGCAGCAGGGGACGAGGCCTGGGGCAAAGAACCTTTTGTAAAAGGAAGACCCCTTTACAAGCTGTAAGTTCACACTTTCCACACCTAGGAACCCGGGCAAATAAAAATCAGCCAAACTACAAGTGTGAATTACCCAGAAGATCTCCCAAACGCCCATGAGAGGGCCTTTATTGTTCTATTAGAGGCAGGTAGGGCCAGGCGCATTAGCTCACGCCTGTAATCCCAGCACTTTGGGAGGCTGAGGCTGGTGGATCACTTGCAGTCAGGAGTTCGAGACCAGCCTGGCCAACTGATGAAACCCCATCTACTAAAAATACAAAAGTTAGCCAGGCTTCAAGGCGCATGCCTGTAATCCCAGCTACTTGAGAGGCTGAGGCAGGAGAATCGCTTGAACACGGGAGGCAGAGGCTGCAGTGAGCCAAGATCACGCCACTACACTCCAGCCTGGGCAACAGAGGGAAACTCAGTCTCAAAAAAAAAAAAAAAAGACAGGTAGAGAGAGCTTTGAAAATAGCCCATTTCCCTGGGCTGGCCCTCCCAAGCTACAACACTTCCCTGCACCCCACCCCCACCCCACCACCATGGACAGAGTCGCAGCCACACCCATCCCCTTTCCAGCCCAGCACCCTCCAAACCCCCCTGCCTCAGCCACAGCATGCCAGTCCTCCTTGCAAGTGCCCCCCAGCACACCGTGGTCCCAGCCGTCCCCCTCGAGAAACTCTTCTCTTCCCTCTGCAGCCGCCCAACCCCTCTGCTGAGGCCCAGGCCCCAGGTCAGCTACTCCAGGAAGCCTTCCCCCGACCCGCAGTGAGCCGCCATCAGCCCCTGCATGCTGATCCCACAGCCTTTGGTGCCCACACCCACCACACATGCGATTATCTGGTTCATTCCCTCACTCCACACTGACACGGGCACCTAGAAGGCTGCGTGTGCGAGACAGTCCTCACCCTTCAGAATCTCCATTCTCCTGTCACATAGGAATGCCAAGGGTACCCCCCTCAAATAGCTGTTCCCAAATTCAACAAGGCAGCGGTGACGAGAGCCTGCCGCCCAGTGCCTGGCACACATTGGGGGCTTGGCCCAGGGCGACTCCAGCCTCTCCGCCTTGGAAACGGCCTCTTGACGCAACCAAGCGGAGCCTCGCGTCTTTTGAAATCCACGGCAGATGCGACAAGCGGCGTCCCTTGGGGAAGGATCCCCTCCTGAAAGGCAGCCCAGACCCAACGCCAGTGCGGGCAAGGTGAGAACCGCAGAGCAGGCCGGCGGGAGCCCTCTCCCCCGGCCTCCGCGTCCTTCAGCCCAAACAGAGCCTTTGATTAGAATTTCCCATTTGAAAAATCAATATTTAAAGCCCTCCGCCTGCCAAACAGAAGGGAAGGCCTTGCTTGTAAATATTTGTCTCGCCTGGCAGAGTCGGGCCCCTGGCTCGCCACGACGGCCCGGCCTCGCTCCTGGCCCCCTGCTCGTGCAGTCCCAGCCAACCGCACAGCAGGACGGCCCTGGGGAGACGGAAGGGACCGTCTGGCAGCCACATGGGGCTTCGCAAGGTGAGCGGCCCCGCACCCACGCCTCCACGGCAGCAGGCCTGGGTGCTGGGCTGCACAGGGACGGTCCATCTGTCTTCCCAGGGTGGGGACAGAGACGCCTCACTGTGCGGTTTCTCTGGATTCCAAGGCAAACGCGTTCCCCCAGGTTTATTTCTTATTTTGGAAAAAAAGCACAAAGACAAAACCCAGGGACTGCCCGCCACGGCGCCACTGAGTGGGAAAGGGATCTGCCGCTGAGACCAGCAGCCTCTGCCCACCTCTGGTCCCTGGAGAAACCATCTCTGTGGCAGCGGGTGACTGAGCTGGGACGAACCGGCTGAGCACCCACCCTGACACCACCGTTCTCAAGTGTCATTCATTCATTTACCGGCTCAGCCATTCCTTCGTTCATTCACCAACTGTGTTTTTTTGGAGAGAGTCACCAGGATGGAGTGCAGTGATATGATCTCAGCTCACTGCAACCTCCATCTCTCAGTTCAGGCGATTCTCCTGCCTCAGCCTCCCAAGTAGCTGGGATTACAGGTGCCCACCACCACACCCAGCTAATTTTTTGTATTTTTAGTAGAGACAAGCTCTCACCATGTCGGCCAGGCTGGTCTCAAACCCCTGACCTCAGGTGACCCACCCGCCTCAGCCTCCCTAAGTGCTGGGATTACAGGTGTGAACCAGCGCGCCCGGCCTCATTCATCAATTCATCCTTCCTCAGTTTGAAGCCCATTCCTCCTTGAGTGGGGCCCTGACAGCTGCAAACACTTTGAGGCAGCAGAGGGGCGAGGCCTGGAGCAAAGAGCCTTGTGTAAAAGGAAGACCCCTTTACAAGGTGTAAGTGCACAATTTCCACAGATAGTAACCCAGGGAAATAAAAGTCAGCCAAACTACACATATTAATTATCCAGAAGGTGTCCTCCCAAACACCCCCACCTTTGCCAGGCACTGGGGCCTGGACACACAGAGGGACAGAGACATGAGCAAAGTCCCTTCGGGAGGGGGTCTTCCAGGCCAAAAATAAATCCCACAAACAAATGGAAAGTCACAACCAAGGCAGGTGCTGGAGGAGGAGGGGTCCCAGGTGGATGGGAGAGAAAGGGGCATCGGGTCCCAGAGGTCAGGGAGGCTGACGAGGCAGGCGCAGGTGAAGCAGGAGGGAAAGGTAGCCAGGGAGGGTGGCAGCCTCGGGAGCTGGCAGGAGCTTCCTGCTTCCTGCTCAGCACATCCACCCACCCAGGGCAGGAGGGACCTACCCAGCCACTCGTTGAATTTCTTCACCTCACTCGGGAGCCCCAGCTCGGTGAAGTCCCCAGCATGGATCAGCACATCGCCGTACGGCATCTGGATGGGGTCTGTCCTTGAGTGGGTGTCAGAGACGCAGACGAAGCGGGTGTAGCCTGGAGGTTTGGGGGCATCGTGAGGCACCGGGTCCACCCTGCCGGAAGAGAAGACACTGCAGGTCAGGGGGTCATGGAGCCTCCTGCAGCCCGGTCCACGGCAGCTCACAGCCCCGCCAATGCCAGTCAGATCCGTCAGACCAGGGACCGGACGCCCAGCCTTCCCGGCGGGCCCCCTGCCCCGATGCTGGACTTCCCTCCTCACTAGCCAGGCAAAGCTTACTTGGCACCCGGGCTTCAGTCTCCCTGTCTGTAACACGGAAACCTCAGAGGGCTGCCGTGAAGGTGAAAGGGGGTGAGAAGCAGGTGCAGCCAGTATCTGCCCTCCGAGCTGAATTGCTGCACGGCTTCCGGCCTTTGGTTCATCGTCACCCCCAGAGGGGCCTTTTCAAGATGTCTTGTCTTTCCCCAGACTCACCTCTCTCCCGTGAAGCTTTAGCAGCACAGAGATGTCACACGTGTGTTTAGGTGACTCACGTCCACCTCTGCTTTAGAAGAGGAAGATGCTCCCTTCACTCCCCAAGCACCGGATTTTACCCCTTGGGGGCACCGTGGCCCCCACTGAGACTGCCTGGAGTGAAGGCCGACGGGCACGCGGTGAGGACGACCCCCGAGACTGTGCAGGCAGGGCGCATGCACCATCGGGGTCGGGGGAGGCTCAGGAGAACATGTGAAATACACCTAAAGGAAAGGTGTCCATTTTTTAAAACGGTAAGGCAGTGTGATCATTTCTACACCAAGGGCCTTCCAGGGCTGTGTCAGAAAACGCTCCTGGAGTCACAGAAGACCAGGCTTTACACAGCCCAGGTCTGCACATCTGTCAAATGAAGCTGCCCCACTGAGCAAAAATAACATTTTAAAAAGCGGCACGGGCCAGGCGCGGTGGCTCGCGCCTGTAATCCCAGCACTTCGGGAGGCTGAGGCGGGAGGATCCCGAGGTCAGGAGTTTGTGACCAGCCTGACCAACAGGGTGAAACCCCATCTCTGCTGAAAATTCAAAAATTAGCCGGGCGTGGTGGCGCGTGCCTGTCATCCCAGCTGCTCGGGAGGCTGAGGCAGGAGAATCGCTTGAACCCCGGGGGCGGAGGTTGCGGTGAGCCGGAGATCACACTACTGCGTTCCAGCCTGGGCGACCGTGTGAGACTCCGTTTCAAAAAAAAAAAAAAAAAAAAAAAAGCAGCACAAATGTAGGCTTTTGTGCCTCCGGAGCCCATCGTGGTCCTCTTGTTTGACAGAGGAGGATGCCGAGATCCAGCCGGGCCGAGCCAGCAGCCCTGGGCACCCCCAGTGCGGAAACATGGGCATGGACTAAGACCCCGGCTCCCCACCCAGCCCTGTCTCCACGACATGTTGCCTCCCCAGCTGAATGGTTTTACCAGGCTCAAAACTCTTAAAAACAACGCAATGACATTTCAACACGCGGCTCTCTCCAAATGAGTATGCCGCTCGAGGAGTCGCGTTTAAATCTAATTATGCGGCAAACCGAAAGCAGTGCCGAATCGGTTACATAAATACTTTTAAAGACATCTTTCTAATTATCCTTTTTTTTTTTCAGACAATATACTTCGAAGAAATTTAATTAACACCTTACGAGAGACGTGGGTTCGGCATGCTAATGTGTGGGGCGCGCTGGGTGTTCCACACGCCGCAGGCGCTGCCCCGGCCTCTCCCCGCCTCGACGGATGCTCCCGGGGCCCCTTCCTGGGGGTTCTTCAGCCAAGGGAGGATGCCAGCAAGTCAGAGCCGGGCTGGACCGGGAGGTAAAGGAATCTGAGCCCGACGACGACCCACCAGGGAGGTGCCAGGGGCTCTTCCCCTCCTCCCTTCGCACGACACATCCTGAACGATGACTGTGTGCCAGCCCCGAGCCCCATGGAGGGCCACAGCGATGAACCAGGCTGACCCCTACCCACGACGAGCCCAGGGACTGATGGCGGCAGCAGACTTGACCACACGAGGACGGTACGCCCGGCACCCCTGACCGGGCAGCAGAGGGGACAGAGCCCAGAGAAGGCTCTAACCTGGCCTGGGGTCTCCTGGAAGCTCCCGTCGTGGGCAGTGTCTGAGCTGATCTGGAAGCTGCAATCTCCCTCCCAGGATTCCCGCCACTCCTCTGTCCTCTGGGGCCCCCAGTGACCCCCTCTCCCCATGACAGAGAGCTGGTGTGACCTACACACCCGGCTGACCAGACCCAGGTCAGTCAGTGGCTACCGTGCTACTGGCCTGGCACAGGAACTCAAGTGAGCCCATCAAATTCGTTCGTTCAGATGCTCGCTCTCTCCCTCTTTTCTCTCTCCTTCCCTCTCCTCCCTTTCTCTCTCTTTCTCTTTCCCTCTCCCCCCTCCCTTTGTCTCTCTCCCTCTCATCCCTCTCTCTCTCTCCCCCCCCACTCCCTCTCTGTGTGTCTCTCTGTGTCTCTAAGGTTTTAAAGATGTCATAAGGTGACAAAGACCAAGTCAAAGACATAAAGAGAAGATGAAGACGGGAGAGAGGGGGAGCACAATTCCACCCCGCTCCCCGAGCTGCTGGGACCCTGACAGTCCACCCTCCCGGGAGCCCCACCTAACAGAGGAGCCCCGAGCAGCCCCAGCTCCACCCGCCGCCAGCCAGCTAGGGGCAGTGCGGTTCTCAGGGCTCTGGCTGGGCTGGGCCTGCTGCGGGAGCCAGAGCTGTTTAATTACCTCTGCTCTTACTTCCCGGCGCCCCGAGGCTTCTGGAGCACAGCAAAGACGCAGAACCAGTCATCCCCAGAGAACAAAATAGACTCGCGTTTCCCGACACAGTCCCCCAGCTGTTTGGACTGTGCTCGACTTTGAAATAATAACAATGATTTCAACGATCCCACACGTCAACAGCTCGTTATGTGCTGGGCACATTACGGCAGCGGCTCCATTCACCCTCATAACGACCATCTGCGCAGGGTGCTACGGGAAGCCCAGCTCACAGGTGAGCAAACTGAGGCTCCGAAAAGGCGGCCTCATCCACGATCTTAGCTGCAGAAGCTGGCGCAGCTGAAATGTAGAGCTGGTTTTTGGTTCCAGAACTCAGACCGGGCTGGACTTTACCAGGCTTGACTTCGTTTTATTCCATCAATCAATGGACGAATCTTACTGAATGCCTCTAAACACCAGGCACCTGCTTGGTATAAGGACACATCTGTGGTCAGGACACTCACAGAAGCCACCGGGGTGAAGACCTGGAAACACTGACTATGTCCGCAAGTGAAGAAAAAAGCAAAAAGAGTCAAAATATGGAGAAAGAGGCCGGCCACAATGATTCACACCTGTAATCCCTGCACTTTGGGAGGCCAAGGCGGGTGGATCACTTGAGGTCAGGAGTTCGAGACCAATCTGGCCAACATGGTGAAACTTCATCTCTACTAAAAATACAAACATTAGCCAGGCATTGTGGTGCGCACCTGTAGTCCCAGCTACTTGGGAGGCTGAGTCAGGAGAATTGTTAGAACCCGGAGTGGAGGGGGCGGAAGTTACAGTGCACTGAGATCATGCCACTGTACCCCAGCCTGGGTGAGCGAGTGAGATTCTGTCTAAAAATAAATTAATTAATTAATTAATTTATATATATAAAAGGAGAGAGAAAAAAAGATAGTAGCCAAGAGGGCATGACTTGAAGATCCAGCTATACCTGAAGCTAGACCCAAACTTGAACTTCTTAACATGGGCCAATAGACTCCTTTTCATCCTTAATGCAACTTACATGGTGTTTCTGATACTTGCAATGACAATGAAAAGTTAGCCCTTGCCCAAGCTCCCAGCTACTAAGTTAGAGAATGGATTTGAACCCAGGACTTCACAACAGGAATCTGGGCATCTAATCTCAACAGCTGGTGACCAAAAAAATAAATGCAAAATGGTTGTTTCTCAGCGACGTTCTGCAGAGTCCGGAGATACGACATGGCAGCAAAGGCTTCTTGGAGTCAAACTCAACTTCCCCAAAGCTTCTGCCTGCTGGGGCGGCTGTGAGGCCCGACACCCGTCACCAGCTCCTCCCAGCCCACGCCCATCTTCCCGTGGAATGCCTGGCAGCAGGAACAGTACAGACGAGAGGACACAGCCTCCGGCGCCAGGCCCCAGGCTGGCACCCCCGCTCGGTGACCTCCTCCTCACTGTGGCCCTGGACCCTACGAGGCTCCAGCCCCGCTCTGTAGGGTAAGGACGAGCCACTCCCTCTTTGTCACGTGGGGAGAACGTACGGGACCTTCACAGCTGGAGCCCTGATGCTAACGCCCGGCAGTGCACCCTGCACCCTGCTCTGCTTCTTTCTCTCCCGTGAGCCGCTGGCTCTGCGGAAGTGCACTTCCTGGTCTCGAAAGCCCAGACGGGCAATCAGAAGCAGAAGCTGTCACCTGCCTGTGACCCTATTCCTCCAGAAATGGGGTGCTCGGCCACCCTGAAAGGTCCAGGCAGGAACAGCTTCCAACCACTCGTCCAGCCATGTCACTGTGCATCAACCATGGTGCTCTAGTAGGAGGGGACCAATGGGGAAACTGAGGCCTGGGGAGAAGCCGTGACTGGCTGGCTCAGCATCACATAACAACTGCCCTAACTCCTTGCGCAGTGCTCTTCTCACAAAGCACTGGATCCAAGGGGACACTGGTCACAGGACCCTGCTGTGCCCCCACGCCTGTCCTTTCTTCCTACCTCCTGGCTTCTGCACTTGCTGGACCCTCTTCCTAAAGTGGCCCACTCCACGGAGGCCACAGGGCAGCTGGTCCTCCAGCCCCAGGGATTATGCCGCCCCCGCCCCCGCCCCCGCCCCCACTGGAAGCCCTCCGTGATCCCTGACACTCCTCCTGGGTCCTGACATGTGTCCCATTCTCACTCCCTTCTCTCTCCTGCTTCCTATACCCTGTGCTAGGCACCGGGCATGCAGCCCCATGCTCAGGGAGGGGAGAGATGCTCGGGAAATCCTCCCACAGATGAATGTGTCCGCACAGACTGAACCATGTGCCACAAAGTATGTGCCACCAAACCCAGCGCTGACCACCCAGCGCTGGCGCAGGGAGGACTTCCCTGAGGTAGTGACGCCTGGGTGAGACCTGAAGGCAGAGTCAGTGCTCACAGGGCAAACAGTTGGGATCAGAGGGAACAGCATGTGCAAAGCCCTGAGGCAGGAGGAAGACTGGAATGTTCCAGAAACCGGAAGCAGCCACTGCATCTGCTGTCCGGCAGGACAGGGATGGAGAATGAGGCTTGAGAGGCAGGTGGTGCCGGGCGGTGAGTCCTGCCAGCCTGCTTGGCCCCTGGCCCCCTCCCCGCGCTCCAGGCTGAGCTCTGTGTCTCCTGCAGGAGCCTCTCAGCGTGTGGACAGGCCAAGGGGCCACAGGGCACTGGGTGGGGGCCCCAGGTCCCCCACACTCACCTTCCAAAGCCTCAGCGTCCTCCTCTGTAGAGAGGGGGGCCACGCCGACCTGGCACAGCAGGGAGGGCCAGGAACAAGGCACAAAGCGGCTACTCCAGGCCTGGCACGCAGCTGTGCCCCCATCCCACTCTGCTGTAGCTTTAAGGACTCGGTGCAGCCTGAGGGGCTCGCAGAGTCTTTAAGCCATGACCCAAGTCAGCGCCATAATGCCTTTTAAAGGTCAGAGGTGAGTTGCTGTGCCTGAGGCCATGGCCCCGGGGACCTACATGAGACCTCCAGGATGTCCCTGCCCCCCCAACACTCACTCTTGCCTCCTGACTGACCACCAGGCCACTGGTCCACCTACCCACCCAGGGCGGAAGGGCTGGGCCTGGAGGGGCCTCCTGAGACCCCCACAGGGTTTCTCAGTTGCCAGGGTAAGGAGTCTTCAGCCTCTGGCTCACATCCCAGAGGCCCAGCTCCGGAGATTCATTACCCAAGCGAAGGCAGCCTCGTCACCAGCAGGGTCTCTGGGGGCAGCTGCATAAATCACAGGACTCAATCAGAGGCCATGTTTGGACTGTCGCTGTTGTTATTAAATATAAATTGTGGATTTATTAAATAAGGCCCCTCGCTCCCTCACCCCGGAGACAAAGCCCAGGGTGGCGACAAATCACACGTCGGGAAGTGGCAGCCGTCCCCCTGGCCCCGCTCCTGGGAAGGAGCAGCCAGCTCACCAAGGACATCCAGTCGGCCACCTCCAGCAGCCTGCACGCTTCTGCGCTTGGCGTGTGGAGTCTGAACGACGGGGCGGTGGGAGGCAGCAGCCCCCTCACCCCTGTGCCCACCCTGGCACCAGCTGTGCGTAGCTCAGAGCTCACTCTCCCCAGGGCACCACCCAAAGCCCAGCAGCCTCAGAGTCCCAGAGCCAGTGGGAGCCAGGAACCCTCCCCACTGCCAGAGGTGGTGGCACAGGGCAGTCCAGGGTGGGGTGGGGCCGGCCAGGCGTGAGTCCTCGCGGGGCCTGCTCCAGCTCCCCAGCTAAGCTCTTTCTCCACCACACTCACCACCGGCGTCACACGCTCCCAAGACCGTGGGCTAACCGCCTGCCATCCGCTGGAGTCATCGCAGCACAGGCAGGGGTGCCCTCGATCACTGCTGGGTCCCAAGGACCTCACCAGGCCTGGCGTGTGCTGCCAACGCGGACCGCTTGCTGCGCCCCACTTCTCTATGTGGATTTAACCACTTCATCCCCAGTATTACCGTGCGCAGCATTTTTTTCACCCCTCAAGAGCCAGTTGTCACCCCTGGGAGGTGCTGTTTTCTCCACTGAGAATGCGCGGACTGACCTCACGGGCAGTGAGGACCAGCTCCCCGAGCCGTGCGGACTGTGCAGAGCGCACGCGTCACCCAAGAAGGGTGGTATGGGAAGGGGCCGTTACAGGGGAACACGTGGTCCCACCGCCTGGAGGAGCCAGCTCTAGGTTGGGGAAACTGAGGCACCCAGAGGCATGAACCGCATCCAAGCAGGCAAGCTCAGAGCTCAAGGTCCTAAACGGGGAGAATGCCAGCGGCTCACAGGCACCCCAAGCGCGTGAATAAATGAATGACTCAACAAATGAACGAATGACCCTGGGTTGCTGAGTTAAATGGGGTGATCACCGCCTCTCGTTCATTCATTCACTGCCCTTCCTCAGGATGCAGCCCAGCCTGCAGGGGTCTGCAGTGCCTCCTGCATGGGCCCCCCCCCCCCGACCCAGCCGGGCCTCCCTGCCTCCCTGCAGTTCTCAGAGACCCCCATCTTCCATCTTCTTTTTCCTTTTTCTTCTCTCTTTTTTTTTGAGATGGAGTTTCGCCCTGTCACCCAGGCTGGAGTGCAGCGGCGTGATCTCTGTCTCGGCTCACTGCAACCTCTGCCTCCCGGATTCAAGCCATTCTCCTCCCTCAGCCTCCCAAGTAGCTGGGGCTACAAGCGTCTGCCACCACAGCTGGCGAATTCGTTGTATTTTAGTAAAGACAGAGTTTCACTGTGTTTCCCAGGCTGGCCTCGAACTCCTGAGCTCAGGCAATCCACCTGCCTCAGCCGCCCAAAGTGCTGGGATTACAGGTGTGAGCCACCGCCCCCGGCCCGGAAACCCCCATCTTCCGGCCACCTTCAGGCTCTGACCCAGCCGCCCCTTCTGCCCGGCCCACTTCCTCCTCACACCCCTCCCAACTTGCCATGCCTATTCCTCCTGCTGTGGCCTCAACCGAGACATTATCCAGTTCTCCAGGGGGTCCCTCCGGGATCCCCTGAATCTGGGAAGCACCTCCTCAGCCCCCACTCCATGCGCTCCTGTTTCCTTGGCTCTGTTCTCAGACTAAGGGCTGCCGGAGCGTGTGCCTGGCCCAGGCGAGGGCCCTGTGAATGACGGCCGTCCGTGGTACCACTGTGCGTGGTGCCAGGACCCTCGTGAACCCCACCTGCCCTGGGAGGCCTTGATGCTCTCTCCCTGACCACTAGTCAGGAGTTCAGCCTGGCCTCCGGGACCTCAGGCTCAGCCACCTCTGACCCACTCAGCTGGAAGACGACCCTCATCAACAAAAGACAAAACCCCCCTCCCGGCAGCCCCTGCCAGGTCTCAAGTCCCACAGACCAAGGAGCAGCAAGCCTGAGACCCGGGGCCTCCCTTCCTGCCCAAACCTGCCAATCAGGCCCCAAAAACAGAAAAGCAGAGGCAGCTACCCAAAGAAATCTACCAAAAAATAAAGTCGGCAGCCACACGCGACACCAGCTCTGCGGCCTCCAACACGGAGACAAGCATTTTCCTGGGCAAGTGCCTCTGAGGGGGTCGGTCCCCTCCCCAGAGCCTGCAGCCCAGCAGGGCCCTTCCCTGTACCCCCGCTCCCCACGACAGAGGCTGGGCCTGAGGGAGGCCACCCGGGGGCCAGAGGCAGCACCCCCACCGGGCCAGGGTTTGGAAACCCCCCCGACTCCCTCTCCGAGTGGTCTGAGACTCCGCAAGCACCGTTGCCCTACGACGGAGATCACAGCCCCAGAGGTGGCGCAGAGCCTGGACCCTTGCGGGGGCACCAGCTCCACAGGCAGTCAAGAAGGCTTCCCATAGACCCTCCAGCACTGGGTCAGCCCCTGTCACAGCTCCCCTCTCCCTGTGCCATGACCTCTCTGCTCTGCAGGGGTCATCCCTGATCCAGACCCAGCTTGGAGACGGTCACCCAGAGCGGCTGGGTGAAGGTACAATAGCCAAGGGGACAACAGCCTCCACACTCAGGCAAAAGCGTGAACATCCCCACACATCACAGCCCAGGGATGCAGCAGGCCGAGCGTGGCAGCCCCAGGCTGGACTCAGGAAGCCAGGGTTCAAGGCCAGCTCTGGCACCTGCCAACAAGACGGGGCAGCTCATGGGCCTGGGCCCCGATTCCTCACCAGGTAAGCTCTGTCGTGCAGGGCTCATGGGAGGTGCAGCTCCCCCTCACAGAAGGAGGGCCACCCTAGGAACTCAGGAAGCCGCCCAGAGCAGGGCCAGAAGCTCGTCCACCTCCACCCCAAGCCACCCACCGCTTTCCAGGACCTCCAGAAATCCGGGAAGGGAAAGGCCGGCCCTGCACACAGGCGTGAGGACAAACCCTCCTGCTGCTCCAGGGGGGTGTCGAGTCTGTGCGCTCCCCATGGCCTCACTGCTTGAGCAGCCCTAGTGCCCCGAGAGGCAGACAACAGAACGCCCGGTCCTTTCGGAAAAGCATCTCTGCTTTCACAAGAGAAGCGCAGGGTCTGGGGAAAGGGAACCAGACGGGGGTCCTCCCCCGCCACGGGGCCTGTGGCGAGCCCCTTCCCCTCTCTGGGGCTCAGCCTCCGCATGCGTACAACGAGGAAAGTGAATCAGACCAGGGGTCACCCACCCAAATGCCAAGACAGGGAGCTGGCGTGTAGCCCCCTGCCAGCCGCCGCCAGGAGGACATGTGGGCCTGGGGCGGCCAGGCCTTTGGGTTGTATGAAGCGAAGCCAGAAGTCTGGAGTTTTCTGTGCGTCCACCTCATCTTTAAATATTTGTAAAACATGCTCCTGGCCAAGTAAGACAGGACCGCGGCCAGAATCGGCCCACAGGCCATCCGTCTGCGACTTCCCATGGGTCCCTCCCAACTGAGAGCCCCGACGGTCCGAGGATTCCAGAATGGCTGCAATCAACACACAGGCCGGGCTCGTCAACAGGGCACGCGGAACCAGCAGGCACCCGAGGACGCGCGCCCACCCCCGCCCCACCGGCCCCGACTTACATCTGCACGTGCGGTGGCTGGAAGCGGCCCTGGTTGATGTTGTAGAAGGTGAAGGCCTGGGTGGGGTTGGAGCTGTACTCGTCCACCTCGATGATGAGCCGGCTGTGCTGGTGCCGCCGGGCGGCCATCACATGGGACTGGGAGAACGCCATGCCCAGGCCGCAGGGGAGGAGAGCCAGGGCCTCCGCCTTCAGGACGCCGGCATCCCACCTAGAGCGCCACATGGACCTCCGCTGGCCGCCCGGGCATCTCCCGCCGCCGCCGCCGCCGCCCGGCCCCCCGCCAGACCTGGAGACAGACTGAGGAGACGGAGCAGAACCGTGCGACAGTTAATCTGTTTGGGATTTGCTTTATTTAATGTCAGATGAAGATTTAGAAAGAGGGAGAGGGCGGGGGGAGAGGGAAAAAACACAGTCGTACAGCTTCAAAAACTCATTACAAATCTTTCCAACTCAGCAGTTTGATGAATATACTTTGGTAAAAAGAAAAGGGGAGGGAGGGAGGGGACAGGGAACAGACACAGCCCACAGCACTGCGGACGGATGCACGCGCGGTCCACAGTGCTTCAATACTTCGGGCATTTTTCCTTTTTTCCTTCGACAAAATCCTCCCGAGCCTACAGGGTGACAGCGAGCTGGGGTGAGACAATGGCTGGTATTTTGTAAACAGGTGAGTTAACTTTTACTTTTCAGAACTGGGGAATAGGAAGGATTCTCCTACAACCCTCCCCCTTCCCCCACAGACCCCCAAACACACCCACACGGCCCCACGCCCACACCCCTGCAAGCCTGAGCAGGTGGAGACCGCACGGGCAAGAATTCCTCTCTCAACATCCATTTCTTCTGAAGATATCTTTTGCTGGTGCCCGGAGAAGGGAGTTTCCCAGACATAGACGGTCATATACCCGCTGGCTCAGGGGTGGTGGTGCAGGTGAGGGAAGAGACGGTGAGGGAGGAGGAACCTTTTGCAAAAACCTCCTTCGATGTCTCACTACCCTCTCTCCTGCAAGGATCTCAGGAACCCTCTTGTACCCCCATCCGCCTTTGAACTGCAGCTTGAGAATGCTGCAATATTTTTCGAATCTCTTTCACTGGGAAGTGCAGTTTGCATTTCTATTTACTGGGCTAAAATACCTCTCCAACCGACCCCGCCTTGGGCTCAGTGTAGAACTCTGTAGAAACTTGGAAACACGGGCCCTGAGTGAGACCCCGTCTAACCCCAACACACAGCACAATGGCCAACGCCTCGTTACTCAGACCATGGAGTTGACTTGCTCCTTTTCATAATTATTTTTTAAACTGGACATGGGGAAATGCCGTGAAGACTTTCTGTCATTGTTTTCAGTTTGGGTCGTGCAGACCCTCCGATGATTCCTTTTGCACTGCATTTAACCCAGGAGAAAATAACCTCATTTAAACTATTCCTGGACAGTCCTATCGCAATCACGTTAAACGAAGAACAATCCCCTCTGCTTTGCGCTTGGAAGAAGAATCGACACAGTCAGAAAACAAATTAGATTAGGAAAATGACAAAAATTAGAGACTGGAGAACATTTTAATTATGTGCAAAGGAGAAACGGGTTATTAATTTTTTAAAAAATCTTGATCGTCTCCCTAGAAGGTGAAATAAATAGCAATATCCTCCTTCTCTCCCACCTACCCCTAAAAACACATCCTGATTCCCCACACATACGCCTCTTCTCCACCCAGGAAGACGGGGTGGGGGGAAAAATCTTTCCGCTCGGGACACATTTGCGCTACTGTTTGGTCCTGTGGGTTGCTTGTAAGTGAACTGGCTCTCCCTGTGGGTGCTATGCAGCAGACATGTCAGTGGGGGAGTGGGCGCCTGCACCCCACCTGTCCTTAACTACTTAGAGGCCCTGGGAGAGGCCTCAGGGAACCAGATGCCAAAGTCCCAGACTCTGCATGCTCTGAGCAAGGCTTGCCCAGATCTGGACAGGAGTCAAGCCCCAGCATAGCTGACTTGCTGTGTGACCTTAGTCCAACTTCCTAACTTCTCTGAATCTCCAGCTTCCTCTTCTTAAAATGCATTTAAGGTGCAGTGCGGTGGCTCACACCTGTAATCCCAGCACTTTGGGAGGCCGAATCAGGCAGATCACCTGAGGTCAGGAGTTTGAGACCAGCCTGGCCAACATGGTGAACCCCACCCCACCCCCGCCAACTAAAAATACAAAAATCAGCTGGGCACGCCTATAATCCCAGCTACCTGGGAGGCTGAGGCAGGAGAACTGCTTGAACCCAGAAGGCAGAGGTTGCAGTGAGCCGAGATCACACCACTGCTGCACTCCAGCCTGGGTGACAGAGTAAGATTCCATCTCAAAAAAAAAAAAAAAGAAAAAGAAAAGAAAAGAAAAACAGAAAGAAAGAAAATGGATGTGATAGTAGTGATGCCACCTCCTGGGGCTATGCAGGTTAAATGGAGAAGTGAGCAAGAATCCTGAGTGTGAAGCCTGACAGGGCCCATGTGCCCGCTCACCTCGGCTGTGATGATCACAATCACTGTTCTGTTCAATTTGATCCCTGCGTGTTGAGGAGCTGCTGTCAGCGGGCACTGCCCAAGTACTGGGCACCTTTGGTTCCAGGGTGTCAAATGCAAACCCAGGGGCCAATTCCAGGAGCTGGGGGTGCATGATACGCCCTGGAGAGCTCAAACGTTTCTCAAAGGCAAGCTGGCCGCATCACATCCCTGCTTGCCGCATCACATCCCTGCTTGCAATCCTTGCTGTGGCTTCTGTGATCAGCTCCCTTGACCATAAGACCCTGCGTGGTCTGGCCCTACTATGTGTCTGGCCTCCACTTGAGCCACACAGGCCAGCCCCCGTGGGCTCTTTCACCTGGAGGCCTACAGCTCACAGGGCCACGCTCTCGTTCAGAGCCACATAGTTCCAACACTTTCGAGGGTCTTCCTCTGCCATGCTCACCATTAAGAGACAGGTATCGATGCCCACGTCTCACGTTTTACAATGATGAAGGGTGCATCCCACAGAAGTGACATCTCATTGCGCAGAGAGGAGGCGGCAGGGTTGAGCCCCAGACCCAGCTGCCGGCTCCCGGCTCTGCCCTCCTCTCCTGCTGGCTGAGGCTGACAACCTTCCTCTCCGCAATGCCAGTATCTTCTAGGTGAGGCTTGGATCTGGGGACTTCATTCCAGGGTCCCAGGAAGAGCCTGGGTGTCCCCTGAAGGCAGTGCTGCCCCCCACCCCCGTGCGCCCCGTGTGTCAGCTCCAGCCCCACCAGCTCTGTGACTCTGAGCCCCTGCTCATGGAGGGGTGCAGGCCCCACTCCCCCACTTACATGTCTGCTGCATAGCACGCACAGTAAGTGCTCAATAAATGTTAGCTAATACTATTTTTATAATGTGATTACCCCACGGCCTATCACAAAGACTTCATCAATAGTATTAGTGGATGGATGGAGGGAGGGAGGGAGGGAGGGATGGATGGACGGAGGGAGGGATGCAGAAATGATGCGCGCTCGGAAGGATGTGCAGAGTGTCTGGAGACTTTCCCTGGTGCCCAGCACGGGCCTGGCAGAGGGTGGGTATCAGGAGAGCTCAGCTGAAGACTGAAGAGTCACTGCCCACTCCCCATCTTACCCACCGCACATCCAGCAGGGAGGCTGCCAGGCTGGCACAGCTCTTGTGAAAGGGGGTTCCAGGTGCCCCCGCGCGTCTTTGCCCCAGGAGAGCAGGTGCCAGCATGCAGACCAGCCTGCAGCCCAGGGAGAACCGCTCTGCGCCAAAGGGACTGAGCCGGGAAAGGCGGCGGCAAGGCTCCCGAGGCGCTCGGCGGTGAAATGCTGCATTTCACATAAAGGGGGTTCGCAATGGGCCCTGCTCAGAGAAATCTGGGAAACAGGAAATGCAGCGCCTTCTTTTAATGCCCGTTTAATATTTATGGAGCAGCCGCAGCAGCCACCGTGGGAGATTCTCCGCCTCGCAGCCCAGCCACGGAGGGGGCGAGGCGTTCCCCAAACAAACAGCTTCGAGCTAGTTTACACCTGGCTCACAAAACAGCACAGCACGAGAGCAACGCAGTGGCGCCCTGGACCCGCCGCAGGGAGACCGCCCGGGCTCCGGACTCCGAGGTCCAGGGGCCCGCGTGCTCTCGGGGCCAGGCCTGCCCAGATCTGCACGGCTGACTTGCTATGTGGCTGGCTCTCGGTCCAGCAGAGTGACCTTAGGCAAGTCCGGCATCCTGATGGGGCTGCAGGGGCCTCCCCCACAGGGAACTGCGGTGGGGGGGATGGAATGAACGAATGAATGGACGAATGAATGAATGGACGAATGAACGCACAACTTATTCAACAACCATTGGCCACGGCCCTGCATGCTTTCCTGGTTCCAGGTGCCAGGAAGGGGCGTGGAAGCACAAACTCTCCCTGCCCTCGAGAAACACGGGACGGCACGGGGGGACAAGCAGGGGACCAGAATTAAACAGAAAAGACACTTTCCGCTGATAATCAGTACCTGGAAGAAGACAGAGCGCGGTGATGGGGGGGCTAAACTGAGGGATCACGAAAGGTCTATCTGAAGACGGGTCACTCACACCAGTGACAACAGCCACACCCCAACCCGGGGAAGCAGAACACAGGCAGAGGGAGGGGGAGGCTGAGTCCCTGAGGCCGGGCGGCTTGGACAAACGGCCTCACTCTTGCATCGCCATGGGTCACCAGCATGCTTCTGCCAGGGAGGACAGCCCCCACTCTGAAGTCACAGGAAGCGGGGTTTCAGTTACGTTCCATCTCGGAGCTGGGCACAGTGGCTCACGCCTGTCACCCCAGCACTTTGGGAGGCCGAGGCAGGCAGATCGCCAGGTCAGGAGATCGAGACCATCCTGGCCAACATGGTGAAACCCCATCTCTACTAAAATTCAAAAAATTGGCCGGGCGCGGTGGCTCAAGCCTGTCATCCCAGCACTTTGGGAGGCTGAGGCGGGTGGATCACGAGGTCCAGAGATCGAGACCATCCTGGCCAACATGGTGAAACCCCGTCTCTACTAAAAATACAAAAAATTAGCTGGGCATGGTGGCGCGTGCCTGTAATCCCAGCTACTCGGGAGGCTGAGGCAGGAGAATTGCCTGAACCCGGGAGGCGGAGGTTGCGGTGAGCCGAGATCGCGCCATTGCACTCCAGCCTGGGTCACAAGAGCGAAACTCCGTCTCAAAAAAAAATACAAAAAATTAGCCAGGCATGATGGCGTGCACCTGTAGTCCCAGCTACTCAGGAGGCTGATGCAGGGGAATCTCTTGAACCCGGGAGTTGGAGGCTGCAGTGAGCC